TTAGACAAAGATAAGTAAGGTTATAGATAGAATATTTTAAAGGATACGTGGCTAGGTCATCAACACAGTCACAAACGCAATATCCTCTTCCTCTTTACCGACCTGCTAGGCAAGCAACACAGTTGGTTTTTGTTATAAGTCCCATATAAACATGGGATCTTATGGGACATGGGACTTACAACAGTGGTAGAGCCACGCGGCAGCTTTTGCTGTCGCACGGATGGGCCGGCTCGAACCGGGGTGATACCACGACCTCACAGAAAACCAGCGTGAAGTAGAGGTTTACCTCTGCGTTTCGCTTGGTGACTGCAGATGGCCGGAGGCCCTTTTTACTGGAAATGAGGCATTCCATCTTAGTCCTCACGGGTGACAACGCATCTACATTTTGATTTGTAACAGAGGATAGATGTAGATGTCTATAGGCCGCAGCAACCACTTACCATCAGGTGGACTGTGTGCTCGTTTGTCACCCTTATCCTATAAAAAAAAAATCTATAATTCCCAGACCATCACGGGACTACTGTTATTATTTCGTCTCATAAATATTTTATACGTATTGTTTTATGAGAGTTTTATGTTTCTATGATGGTTTTGTTCTTAGTACATATATCTCTTTTAGTATATTAACTGAAACTAAATACAGTACTATCACATATCTGTTTTATATTTAACCTTTTTTTTTATCTTAAATCAACATACCAAGTGTGTTCAAAACAAAATTTTCGGCCTTAAAAAGGATTCTTAAAACTCTCAAATTGTCGCGTTGGGACGCGACTGGGAAAGGCAAATAGAGGGGAGTTATGAAAACAAGGACCAAAGGGCCCTTACTTTAGATTTTTTGTTCTTCGTGTAAGGCTTTTTCATTTTAAACCTCTTTAGTCTTTACAGAATCTGTACTTGAGTATTAATACCGGGAATTCGATAAGTTTTATTTGCTACGCTTTGCAAGCGGGTTGGCAACCAAATTTTTTTTATTATTATTCAGCTGTTGGCAAAAGGCCGGTCATAAAGCCTGAAGAAACTTAAACAACAACTCTTATGATATAACTAGCTGTGCCCCGCGGTTTCACCCGTGATTATCACGCATCTGAGTCGCGCGACGTTGATATCCTTAGGTTGTATGTGTCATACGCGCGGCGACCCGAGTATTGAATTATTTTAATTTTTCGTTACGCCTTAAACTATGCGTCCAAATAATATGCTATAAAGAGCAAAGTTTATCTTCATAAAATTATCTTGATGATGAAGTAAGTTTCGTTCGTAAGGATCAATATGCCATGCCAAATAATACTAATTCTCATAGATCACATTTTTATTTTCAATAATTTTTGGCATCACTTAAAATGAACGCAGTGCTCCTTCTATCTTTCTTTGTACTCGTAGATCTGAGATTTAAATATAATGTTATTATATGCTTTAACCGCCGACGCAAAAAGCGGAGTGTTATTATTTTGACTGCTATGTGTGTCTGTCTGTGGCACTGTAACTTTTAAACGGGTGAACCGATTTGACTGCGGTTTTTTTTCTTTAAAAGCAGGTTTTCTAGCGGTGGCTCATAGACATGTTTTATTAAAATTCTGCTTTTGTTTCAGGGTTTTTTTTTAATTTTTAATTTAAGTTATAACAATATCATTAAAATATTACTTGTATTTAATATCTAAATTGATGTAGTTTGGTTTAGTTTACGACGTGCTGTTTTCCGCAACTCCGCGTCTAAGCGCGTATTTTACGTGTAAAATTGATATAACAGGATATTTAAAAATTAATATTATCTGTATTCCATGCGTTTGAATTTAGAACCAAACGATTTGCTTCGTCTTTTGTAATGCGTAGAGCAAAGTGGTGGAATAATTTGCCGGCGTCTATCTTTCCGTCCGAATACAATCTGGGCGTCTTCATCACAAGAGTGAATAGGCTTTTGTTACGTTAAGACAGTGCGATTTACCATCTGGGTCTGCATCACCACTTACCACCACGTGGGATTGTGGTCAAACACTGGCTTATAATAAGTAAAAAAAAAATATCCAGTTCCTGTATCGGTAGTTAAGTTGATGAATAATAATTTATCAATTGTCTAGCCGCGTGGAGCTCAATTTAAAAAATCAATGCCGCCCGAATATTATCTGACAATTTTATCATTATTCATAGTCCGCTACAAATGTTGGTGAAAAACAAATTATACAAAGACATTAAAAAATGAGTAGGTTTACAATTCGACTGTATATTTTATTGTATACTAGCTGTACCCCGCGACTTCTACGTGGTAGAGCCATGCTGCAGCTATATTACTGGTATAGCACGAATGGGTCGGCTCGACCGGGGACGGACCACGCTGTCACAGAATACCAGCGTAAAATAGCACCTTAACACTGCTGGGTTTCGTATGGTGAGTGTAGAGAACCGGAAACCCCTTTTATTGGAAAATAGGCATCCCATCTTAGTCCTCACGGGTGATAACGCATCTGCATTTTGATTCTTTATTGAGGATATATGTAGATGTTTAAGGGTCACAGCAATCACTTAACATCGGGTGGGCTGTGTGCTCGTTTATCACCCTAATTCTATAAAAAAAAACTTCGCTCGCGTGTTAGGGTTTTTATGTTTTTGCGCGGAACACTAATTCCTTTTCTAAAATAAAAGTAGCCTACGTTACTCCTTATGAAATCAGCTATCTGCCAGTGAGTCTCGTCAAAATCGGTCCAGCCGGTTCGGAGATTAGCCGGAACAAACAGACAAACAGACAGAAAAAAATTTTAAAAATTGTATTTTAGTTAAAGTACCGTATTTACTTTCATATGTATTTAGTAAAAAAAACTGTAATTTTGACATTACAAACAGACACTTCAATTTAATTTATTTATATAGATATGTTACGCGACATCTTCGCCAATATTGTAAACTCTATTTTTTTATAGAATTTGGGTGACAAGCGAGCCCACAGCCCACTTGAAGGTAAGTGGATGCTGTGGCCCATAAACATCTATCTATCCTCGATTAACAATCAAAATGCAGATGCGTTGTCACCCCAGAGGGGTAGGATGGAATGTTTCGTATCCAGTAAAATGGGCCTCCGGTTCTCTAATCTCTACATTCAAAATACGAAACACAGCAGCATTAAGCTGCTATTTTACGCTGGTATTCTGTGAGAGCGTGGTCCTTCCCCGGTCAAGCCGACGCATTCGTGCTACAAACCATAAGATACTGCAGCACGGCTCTAATATGTACGTAAAATATTGATGATTTAGATGATTATTTTTTATTAAATAGGTATAATATAATAATTCAGGAGTAATTTATATAAATTTGGTACATATAAATTTATAAATGAGGATATCCGCAGTAGAACCAGAGTTACCGACATAGCCCAAAGATTAGTAAGGCCATAATATAGCTCGAAGAACCGACAACCGATGGGGAAAAATAGTTCTCGAGTGGCAGCCTCGTACCGGCGGACGAAGTGTACAGCGTCTCCCCACTAAATGGAGTGACGACCTGGTAAGACATGCAGGAAGTCGATGGACGCAGGTGGCTCAGGACCGTGCTTTGTGGCATTCCTTTTGCCTTTCATAGGCCTCCCCTATGTTCAGCAGTGGACTTGTGTGAAGGGCTGTATTGATAATGATGATGATGAAATTTGGAGAAAAAATTTCACCCCTAAATAAAGTTTTAATGTAACTATTTAGACAATATTCAGATTGCGATAATCCTTATTCTACTTTAAAGTGTAAAAAAAATAATTTTAACAAAAATTAAGCGCCGTTAAAAGTTATTTTTTTAATATAATTCTTTTTATAGAATGTGACAAATCTCTTATTAAGCGACTTCATTAAAAAGGGAGGTTCTATATTCGAAGCGTATGTATTTATTAAGTATGTTCACCGATTTTTCGGATACGGCCGAACCGATTGAAAAGATTCGTTTTATCTAGATACAAATAAATAAAATAGAAGTGTCTGTTTGTAATGTCAAAATTACAGTTTTTTACTAAATGCATATGAAAGTAAATACGGTACTTATAACTAAAATACATTTTTTTTAATTTTTGTCTGTCTGTTTGTTCCGGCTAATCGCCGAAACGGCTAGACCGATTTTGACGGGCTTTTCACTGGTAGATAGCTGATTTCATAAGGAGTAAGTTAGGCTACTTTTATTTTAGAAAAATAATTAGGGTTCCGCGCAAAAACATAAAAACCCTAACACGCGAGCGAAATCGCGGGGAACAGCTAGTTATGAAATAAATTAAGCGGCATATAATGTTTTTAATGTTATTAGGATGACATTCTTGTTCTTACTTTAAACTGTTATATTCCTTAGTCCTAGCAAACGGTGTTCCCTATTTCAAAAGCTAAATAATATTTTTATGTGTGAAAAAAGTGTGAAAATGATTTTTATTTATTTATTTATACACTTTATTGTACTAAAGATACAAACGGTGCACTTAATGCTATATGGCATTTCTACCAGCCAACCGTATCTTATCATTTTAGTTTTTGATGGCTGTTTTTTTTTTTCAAAAGCTTAATTATTCTTGTACGAAAGACGAACATTGTTAAAAAGTAACACAACATAAGCAGTGTAGCATAGCGAAACTACTAACAAAAGTAAAAAAAAAATTGTTAATTACTTTTCGCGTTTGCATAATACATTTTGTGGCGTGATGTCGAAAATCAATATACCTAGATAAATCGGAAGACGTGAGCAAACAATAATGACGTCTCGCGACCACATATTCAATTGCTGTTTAAGGAGGCATATAAATTAAAAAGTCAACTCATCAAAGTTTCGTCTTCGCCTAAATACATCACAAGTAACCTCTCCCTCCTTGTCTCCCCTCTTACTAGTGACAATAAGTCGTGTACGCACACATACGCATTGTTTGTACACTCGCACACGGACATAACCGGCTAGGTATTCGGTTTCCCGCCACCGGCGCGAACACTCACACAAAACACACCGAGCAAACAATACAAACACCAACACACAAGTAAATTTAAACTCACCTCAAAATAAATCCATTAGAAAACACACTTGTTCAAACAACTAGCGCTTAGCCTCGAAAACGCGTTGAAAAAACACTCGCGGCATCAGATGTATGCTCAACACTTTTCCAAACTTTCTGTCCAGTCTATAGGTGCTCCTTCGTTAGCACCTTCTGCTGTCATTCGCGCCAAAACAAATTTCAAACTTTAAAATGCGACAGTCTTTCGTCAAACTTTTTGTATCAAATCTTTACTCATTTTTACGAGGCTAGGACCACTTCTTATCAGTCTAATTAGGTCTGTGGGTGAACAGTCTCAAAACACGCCCGAGGTTTCGCGTATATTTTTTTTGCACAAGAAATTGTTTCCGCAGTACAAATGCCGCGATTCAAACCAAACACGATAGCAAAATAAAAGAAGCACGACGACTGGCCCCAGCACAATTATTAACACACGTTGCGCGGTAAAAATAAACTATGATTAACTACTGTTAAGATTCGCGGAGACAACTGCGGCGATGTGCGAGGCGTAAAAAATATGTATGTAATGAAATCCTTTAATAAAATTAAGTTGCAAATTTGTTTACCGCGTAGCTATTTTCGGTCACAATATGAATAATTATCTGTAGCGAGCGAACATCGACGCATAGTTGTCGTTTCATAAAACGCGCGCGTTAAAACTGAGTCGAAAGGCTCGCCCCGTGGTGGAGCATAGCGCCGAATAAAATAAACAACAATATACCTAAATAAGCGGCTCGACGGGCGCGGTCGAGTGTGCGTGCACGCCGTTGTGTGCGTGTGTAAACAAGGGGCAATTCGGCTTGCATGACAATATCAAAATTGTTGCTACTTGCGTAAGTTTCTACATATATATTAAGGATCATCAAAATAAAACCAAAATAAGTTTAATTATTTTTCAGTATGGTAAGGAACTTTTCAATTTTATAATTTAATTTAATAAATCCACCAATTAATCAATTATTTACATTATTTTAAGTTTTCACACAGTTTTCTTAAAATCTTCTTTTATCACAAACTACGAAGAAGTTCTACAAGCTCACATCAATTTGTATTGACAGTGTTGATACTATAGTTAGCAAAGGGATATCATTTTTTTTTGAAGTAACCACTATACTAGGAATTTTTTGTGTGTCGTCCAGATGTATTAGATAAATTGCATATGAACAAACACTCAGATCCAGGACAATAATGTGTAAGCCATATAGGTAAATAGTGCTGGAATGAAATCCATGGCCTGTTGGCAACCAAACGCCATTGCGCTTCATCAATTTTACCACACCGGCATTTTGTTTTAGACTTGACATAGACTTGATATAGACTTCTAAAATAAAATGATTAGTCCACACTGGATATTATATTACCATATGAAACACAGCATTAAGCTGCTGGCATTTTGTGAGAGCGTAGTTCTTTCCTGTCAGAGCTGCAATATAGCCGCAGATTAGCTCTACCATATTAATATGAGGCGAGAAGTCTCAACGAAGTGTTTTTTTAAATACATAAATTTTGCTTCTTCTTTTTTAAAACTGAACTTAAAACATTTGGGAGAAATTTTAACTATATTTATTATGTGCAACGGCATTAAAACAGAGAGACGCAATGTGAAAAAAATTGCGTAAAGTTTTATGGATGGTCAATAAAACTTGGAATGACGTAACATAACAAGGGATATATTACAGTCTCGCGACATGTTTTATAAAAAATATACCAATCTATAAAATAGAAAGTGCAACAAAATATAAAGTACGTACTTAATTTAAATAAAGTCATTGAGTACCATGCGACCCCAAGCTCCCCGCGAGAATAAACATATGACGTCACCGACGGGTAAACAAACAAACAAACACATGCGCCGCGCTCATGTTTCCTTAATACAATTATTATTTCGAATGTAGAGCGCGGGCGAGACGGACGCTCCGTTGGCATAGCCATTTCGTTTTATTTTTAACTAGCTTTGCTCGCGGTTTCACTCGTAGAACAAACTATGACCTATGAAATTATAAATTTATATTAAAATTAGACAACTATATAGGTATTACATCGTTATTGGTATTGAACATAAAGAAGTAGTTTATTAATTATTCCAGTGAATACGGTTATAGTATTATTTTTTTAATGTCCCCAACAACATAATCACCCCATTATAAAAGCTAGGCTAAATAACATTAAAGTAACATAAACCAGTGAACAATAATACTTATATACTTATAGATACAAATATCATGTTCTATTTAAAATGTAATTATTTTAAAAGAATTCAGAATATTTTTTGGGCTGTTACTTACTTATGTCTAACTTAACGTTAAACATTTTAAAACATTTGAGAATAGAAGTAGTTTTTGCTAGGTTATTTTAAGCGTGCCGACTGTGACCAGCCAGTGCCATTCGCCATTGTTTAAGTCAAAGCAAAAATGAGTCTGTGTAAATAAATCTTGTTTATTTTTTTAAGCCTGTTTCCTACACGACTCTACTTCGTCTAACAACATTTATTATTTGTTTGAGCTAACGCGATAAATAACTCGTTATTTATGCGTAGATCATAATAGTGACCTTGAATTTGACATTTTGCTATTCCGCCATTTGGTGTCCGTATTTTGTTGTTTGTGTAATAAAAATAATTCGCATGCTATGTTGGAGGACTTTTATTTAGGTGGTGTTAATTTGGTGAATTTAATGTTTTGTTCCTATTATGATTATTTAAAATTATTAATTATAATTTTAAATATGTTCTTAATTGACTTAGGAATATTAAATTAAGTGAATATATCAATATTTTATAAATTAAAGCGCAGACTCATAATAAATTGAGAGAAAGATTCGACTACTGTCGTGAAGCATTCCTAACACACGCATTATAAGCCTATTAGGTATTAGCAGTGGTAAACGGGAATATTCGTATTACTAACCCTTTTTTTCTATATCTATATGAGGTTATCTAATAGAACTTGGTAAGTATTAGTGATACTAGGCCGAGAAATGTTTAAATCTAACTTTTTTTTATAGAATAAGGATGATAAACGAACACACAGTCCGCCCGATGGTTCGAATATGTTGAGGCCCATAGATATTTACATCTATTCCAATTAAGAATCACATTGCAGATGCGTTGTCACCCCTGAGGAGTAAGATGGAATGTTTCTTTTCCAGTAAAAACGGTCTCCGGTTCTCTACACTCGAATTACGAAACACAGCAGCATTAGGCTGCTATTTTACGTTGGTATTTTGTAGTTTCCAGTAGAAAAGGACTCCGGTTCTCGTTTCTCATCATACGAAACAAAGCAGCGAACGTGGCTCTTCCTCAGTCGGACCGACGGAGCTCTGCAGCGTTGCTCAACAACTTTAGGAATTCCCGACGATATAGTAGATTGTAGATCGGACAAAAAAAATTAAAAATTGAAGGTAGCCTTCGTTAACTATGACATCATGACGTCAAACACCTCAGTCCCCACCCATGACCATGAGTGCTGAAAAGTTCCTGAAACATCAGGAGTTAAAATAGTTAAAATGAAACGAGATAAAATCCGTAAAATTAGTTTTATTTCACTATGATGATAATTTAAATTCGCTACATTTAGTTGTGTTTGAAAACATGTTCGGTTTCCCGTTTTGAATTATTAAATATTTTTTTACTGTTTTCAAAATTTATTTCATCACAAAAAACCGGACGACATTTATTCATATTTACATAGAATATATTTTTATAGAAGTAACCAACGATCACACAGTTCACCTAATCTATATAAATATAAAATGATAGAGGTTTGCAGTTGTGCGTGCATCACCGAAAAACTACTGAATTGATATCAATTACGTTTTCTAAGTTTTATTTTTTAGACATTTAGCCCTTATTTAAAAAAAAATTGCGAAATCTTCCTTTAATATGAAGTTAGTTCAATTGGATAGTTGACAAATTCTTTTGTTATTTAAAAAAAGGTCTCGCTGGGTTTCTTGCTGGTTCTTCCCAGGACAGAGGTTGTTTCCGAACCAATGGTAATTAAACATAAGAGTGACTTATTATTTCAATAAGTATTATTTATAATCTACATTGAATATAATTTAAATAAAAAATTTTGTACAATCAACTTTAATATAAATTATTAAGAATAACTAAAAAAATATTGGTCAGACCTTGATCAAATTTATATGGGACCACATGAGCAGCACCAGCTTCAAATAAAAAAAAAGAATCATCGAAATCGGTCCACCCAGAAAAAGTATGAGGTAACACATATAAAAAAAAATGTAACATACAGTCGAATTGAGTACTATCTCCTTTTTGAAGTCGGTAGAAAAAAGTTTCTGTTTCTATTTAAATTTCTACCACAAATTCGCTACATTATTAGTAGTGTCTCAAAACTTAATTAGGTTCTTGTTTTGAGTTAAATATTTTTTTTACTGTTTTAAAAATATTCTACAATATACAAATAAGATACTTATATTTATTTTAATCACCAGAAACCGGATGGCAATTATTCATATTTAAATACAAGTTTTTTTTTTTGTAGAAATGTGTTAACAAGCGTACACTTTACCTGATAGTAAGTAAATACTGTGGTTCATAACCTATATATTTCCTTGATTATGAATAAAAATTCAAACGCAAAATAGAAACCCTTACACCTGAATGGAATTCCTCGTTTCCAGTAGAAAAGGACTCCGGTTCTCGTTTCTCATCATACGAAACAAAGCAGCGAGCGTGGCTCTTCCTCAGTCGGACCGACGGAGCTCTGCAGCGTTGCTCAACAACTTTAGGGATTCCCGACGATAAAAGCGGAAGGTAGCCTTCGTTAACTATGACATCATGACGTCAAACACCTCAGTCCCCACCCGTGACCATAAGTGCTGAAAAGTGCCTGAAACATCAGGAGTTAAAATAGTTAAAATGAAACGAGATAAAATCCGTAACATTAGTTTTATTTCACTATGATGATAATTTAAATTCGCTACATTTAGTTGTGTTTCAAAACATGTTCGGTTTCCCGTTTTGAATTATTAAATATTTTTTTACTGTTTTAAAATTTATTTCATCACAAAAAACCGGACGACATTTATTCATATTTACATAGAATATATTTTTATAGAAGTAACCAACGATCACACAATTCACCTAATCTATATAAATATAAAATAATAGAGGTTTGTAGTTGTGCGTGCATCACCGAAAAACTACTGAATTGATATCAATTACGTTTTCTAAGTTTTATTTTTTAGACATTTGGCCCTTATTAAAAAAAAAATATTGCGAAATCTTCCTTTAATATGAAGTTATTAAAGTTTTAAGAAACAACGATGTTTATAAGCACTACGTTTTCAGTGATGTGTGTAAGCAACGTGGACGAAGTCGCGGGTATCAGCTAGTTGTCATTTATACGTGGTGGAGCCATGCTGCAGCTATATTAGTATAATAGTTGTAGTACGAATGGGTCGGCTCGACCGGGGAAGAGCCACGCTCTCACAGAATACCAGCGTAAAATAGCAGCTTAACGCTGCTGTGTTTCGTATGGTGAGTGTAGAGAACCGGAGACCCTTTTTACTGGAAAAGAGGCATTCCATCTTAGTCCTCACGGGTGACAACGCATCTGCATTTTGATTCGCAAACGAGGATAAATGTAGATGTCTATGGGACACAGCAACCACTTACCATCAGGTGGA